CATCATCAAGCGGTTTTTTACATAACCTGGAATAAAGGGGAAGATCTCAGGCCACGACCCAGCCCAGCCCAGCTCCAGCCCAGCAGCCCAGCCCCAGCCCAGCCCAGCCCAGCCTAGAGCCAGCCTGAGCCCAGCCCAGCCCAGCCTAGAGCCCAGCCCAGCCCAGCCCAGCCCAGCCCAGCCCAGCCCAGCCCAGCCCAACCCAGCTCAACCCAGCTCAGCTCAGCTCAGCCCCAAGACACCGTCGCCGCTACCTCCGTGATGCATAGTGTATTAATATACCCACACAAGCATCACCCGCTCATATGGTCGAAAATCATTTTCTGTTTCTTGTGAGTTATGACTCTTTTGGGATGTGAACTGGTGCAGGTGTTTGGCTCAGGTAGACGGGTTATGTATAGATATACCGTAAGTGTGTGTGAGTGTGTGTTATGATACAGTGGGGTGGAGACCCGACGTAGCCGTTCGTGAGAATCCGATTTAATATCCGTCTTTAATCGTTAAGTAGTGGTATTATTATTATTATTATTATTATTATTATCATTATTATTTTTATTATTATTATTAATATTATTACTTTTATTATTATTATTATTATTATTATTATTATTATTATTATTGTTGTTGTTGTTGTTGTTGTTGTTGTTATAGTCATCATCCTCTTCGTATCACCATCATCATCACATCACCATCATCATCGTCACCATCCTCATCATCATCATTCTCACCATCCTCATCACCATCCTCACCATCATCACATCACCATCATCATCGTCACCATCCTCATCACCATCGTCACCATCCTCATCACCATCCTCACCATCATCCTGTATGGCGTCGTGTCGTCTGGCTGACCCTGGCACCAGACCCTCGCGTGTGTGACTACCCGGGGGCTGCTGGAGTAAGGGGGGGAGGGGTCACATCGATTCCCGACGCGTCTCCCCCCCATCCCCCTAACCCCCCCCTCAACTTATAATCACGTGTGTAAGTGTGGGTGGATGTGGGTGGGGGGGAGTGGGGGGGCGTTACCGGTGTGTTTGTTAGTGATGGAAAGTGAATCAATTTTTTCCCTAGTGTGCAAAAATTGGCATGCAGTTTAATCCCCCTCCTCCCTCTCCTCTTCATGCCCCCTCCTCCCTCTCCTCTTCATGCCCCCTCTCCCCCGGTCCTCCACGCCTCTCTTTTCTTCCTCCTCCTCCTCCTCTTTCCTCTTCCTCTCCTCTTCCCTCACTGTAAATACATCAACCTCATACTAGCTGACCGTATGACGTCATAGTAGGCACCTCACCAAACATGACGTCATCGTTTGTTTACAGTATCTACCTACGCTGAGATGGACTTGACCTTCCTCTTAGGTAACTGTAGCGGCTTGTGTAAATTCCATCCCATTCTGCTTATACTGTACAGGTGAGGGGAGGTAGGGAGAGAGTGGAGAGGTTGTTTATCGATTTGCACCTGTAAGTACCTGGTTGGTTTTCAGGTTGATTGATAGGACTTATTGCTAGTGAAGCCCGTGTGTATTTTGGCATAATGTATGTGTGTCGGTGTGTGGGTGTGTGTGTCGGTGTGTGTATGTATGTATGTGTGTGGGTGTGTGTGTTGGTGTGTGTGTCGGTGTGTGTGTGTGTGTGTGGTGTGTGTGTGTCGGTGTGTGTGTATGTGTGGGTGTGTGTGTGTTGGTGTGTGTGTGTGTCTGGTGTGTGTGTGTGTGTGTGTGTGTGTCGGTGTGTGTATGTGTGTGGGTGTGTGTGTGTTGGTGTGTGTGTGTCGGTGTGTGTCGGTGTGTGTGTCTGTGTGTGTGTGTGTGTGTCGGTGTGTCGTGTGTGTATGTGGGTGTGTGTCTGTGTGTGTGTGTGTGTGGGTGTGGGTGTATCTGTGTGTGGGTGTATCTGTGTGTGTCTGTGTGTGGATGTGCGTCTGTCTGTCTGTGTGTGGGTGTAATAATAATAATAATAAACGGTTTATTAATAGAGTTGCAGCCGGTGGCTGAACATATACAGACTTACATTTGATTTAGATCTGTGTGTGGGTGTGTGGGTGTGTATGTGTGTGGGTGTGTGTGTTTATGTGTGTGTGTGGGTGTATGTGTGTGGGTGTATCTGTGTGTGTGTGTGTGGGTGGGTGGGTGGGTGGGTGTATGTGTGTGGGTGTATCTGTCTGTGTGTATAATAATAATAATAATAATAATAATAATAATAATAATAAACGGTTTATTAATAGAGGTACAGCCGGTGGCTGAAAATATACAAACTTCCATGTGATTTAGACATAATGATATGCGTTGAATACATTTACAGGGCTGTACAGTACATAAATCAGGAGTTGTTTATTATTTTAACAATAGATGGGATGGTGCTATTCTTATATCTATCGGTGCGGGCTCTTATGGGCTGAATTTTGTTGTAGTGGTGGACTGCGCGAGGTGGGTGGGGGGCTGCAGGAGGTGGCTATGACGAGGGTGGTGTAATAGTTGGCTGCCAAACCTTTCCAGTGCTTGTTGGTGGAGGTCACTGAGGGATGGCATTTCCAGGGTGGAGAGAGCGTTGGTATAGCCGGAGTAGTCAGCGCCGAGCATGATTCTGCAGGCCCTTTTCTGTACCTTCTCTAGCTGACGTTGTTGGGTGGAGTTGAGGGAAGACGACCAGGCTGGTGACGCATACGTTAGTTTGGGGAGATTAAAGGCGTTGTAGATGGTCCTCAGCTCTGGCGTGGGTGTCCCAAGTGACCTAAGTCGTCGTAGCATGTAGAGATGGTACGAGGCTGCCTTGACTGTGTTATTTACATGGGCCTTCGAGTCAAGTTTGTTGTCTATAGTAACACCCAGGAGTGTGCCAGACTGCACCAGCTGGAGAGGATGGGTACCCACTGCGACTGCTGGAGCTTGCACTGGAATGGTGGCGGTATTGATGTGCATGACTACGTTTTTGGTGTGGTTGATGGTGACCTTGTTCTCCGTAGTCCATGCCTGTAGCCTGTCCAGGGTGCCTTGTAGCGATGAGTAGTCTGGTGCGGTGTTGTCCACTGAAACCCCCACAGTGCAGTCATCCACGTACTTCCACCTGTGCGTGGGTGTGTCTGTGTGTTGGTGTATCGGTGTGTAGGTGTATCTGTGTGTGGGTGTATGTGTGTGTGTGTGTCTGTGTGTGGGTGTATCTGTGTGTGGGTGTATGTGTGTGTGTGTGTCTGTGTGTGGGTGTATCTGTGTGTGGGTGTATGTGTGTGTGTGTGTCTGTGTGTGGGTGTATCGTGTGGGTGTGTGTGTGGTGTAGTGTGGGTGTATGTGTGTGTGTGTGTATCTGTGTGTGTGTGTGTGGGTGTATCTGTGTGTGGGTGTATCTGTGTGTGGGTGTATCTGTGTGTGGGTGTGTCTGTGTGTGGGTGTATGTGTGGGTGTATCTGTGTGTGGGTTGTATCCTAGTGTGGGTGTATCTGTGTGTGGGTGTTTATCTTTGTGTGGTTGTAACTATCCATGTATAGGTGTATTATGTATGTTGATGTACGTAACTATGTGTGTGCGTGTGTGTGTATGTATGTAGGTATGTCACTGTACACCTGAGTAACCCCCAGATGATAGTTCCTTAAACCAGTTCCAGTAAGGTAATAAAAAATGGAGTCTTCAATATGATTTCCTTCCCCAGAGACACAATTTCCTAAGCAATTATGGTCAATTTCCAGCGATTCAGTCAATTGAAAATCACTGTTGGAGTTAGAGGTGGGGGGGCAAGGATAAGGCACCCCCCCTCCCCTCCTTCCTGAGATCTCCCACCACTGGCACCACTACCACCACAACTAACAATATTCAATAGTCCTACCATCATCATTACCAACACCACAACTATCATTACCACCACCGCCACTACCACCACTACCACAATCACTACCACTACCACCACCACCACCACTTCAGATTACAGACTTCAGAAGAGTATAAAGCAATTGACGATATACAGAGGCCCGTGATGACTAAAGTGTCTCAAGTTTATCATGAAAAGAGAAACAGAATTGACTTACACGATCAATTTAAGAGGAAGAGGTCGATATGCTGCAAGAATTATTATACAAAGTGTCAACCTCTCGGAATGTTTCAGGTAGATTGTGGGATGTGTTTAAGGTAATTACAGGTCGACACATTGATATTCCAGGTAGATTTAAGGTAATACTCAAGATATTATAATTTAAAGAGTCTCGATGTATTATAACTGACACTCCTAAGATAATTTCAAGACCAGGAAGGATTAGATTGATAACTCCCAGGACTCCAAGTGGCTTCCTCCGCCTCCTGGAACTTCTGAATGCATAACTTCCAGTCCTTGAATAGTCAGTCCCTGGAAAGCCGTCGGTAGGTAGCATTGTCCTGGAGCTATATCCTGGAATTTATATTAATTTCCTATTTCTCCCCCAACTTCTGTGGAAAAGAATAACAGTAACAACTTTATCATGGAAACGTCTGGGGGAATTTTGATAGTTTTTTCCCCCAGGCGAAGAAACTCCTTGATAGCTACATTTTTTTCCCTAGAATCATCTTAGACTTTATAATTACAAAGTCCTGGATAATTAATTGGATGTGCGTGCGTGTGTAATGTTGTTTCTTGATGTAAATTTGAATTCAAACTTCTTCTTTATTATTTTTATTTTCAGAGTTGTGATAAAGTTTTACAAGTAGCTCTAAGTTTGAATTGTATTGGAGAAAAGTTCCTGTACTGCCAGAGTTAGGAAGTCCTCCTGCCTTCCACCCTTCCTCCAGTCCCTTCCACCGCCCCCTTCTACCCCTTCGTCCCCCTGAATGGAAATCTTTATTAGTCATAAACTGGGCTAGAAGAACTCCTTTATTTTCTTAGGAAGAAACTCTTTTGTTTTACCTTTAGTGATACACCATTTTTTTGAGGGGGTGGCTCTCGAGAAAGAAGCTCCACCCGTAACATGCTCAAATAAAAGCTCTCCTCTAGCTCCCAGAGATAGAAGCTCCTGAAAAAAGTGGAGCCCTGAAGTGGTCTCCCAGGATGACGACCACTGTTGTTATGAGCAGTTTCGTCCACAGCGGTGTGACGTGTTCAATAAAAGTTACCCAACTCGACCAAGGCCAGTGGTGGTGGGTCGGTGAACGCTGTATATATATATATATATATATATATATATATATATATATATATATATATATATATATATATATATATATATATATATATATATATATATATATATATATATATATATATATATAACATTATAAAATATCCATGGCTTCCCAGTAAGGCGTCACTGCCGGTGTAGACGAAGTAAAGAAAATGATGAGTTTGGAATTTATTCTTTATGAAAACCATTCACAGGAGCGTTGGTCTGTGTGTATGTTTGAGGATTAAATAACAATACATTTACCGTACAAATGTTGTGTATGTACAAATACAGACATCTAAATAAGTGTAAATACAGATGCAGACGATAACAGCACACACGCAGTACAGAGGGTGGCTGTACACGGGGGAAGATGCCTTCCACCCTGGGATGAGACGGGACCCTGTGGAACCACCAGGGCGGAGGTGTTTTGTGAGTCATAGCCAAGACCTCGCTGAGACATGATCAATATTCCTTTATTGATCCACCTACCACCACCACCACCACTACTTCCCTTACTGATACCCCTGCCACTACTACCCCTCCCACCACTACCACCCCTCCCACCACACCCACCACTACTACCCCTCCCACCACACCCACCACAACCACCATTACTATCCCTCCCACCACACCCACCACTACTACCCCTACCACTACTACCCCTATCACCACCCCTACCACTACTACTCCTACCACCTCCCACCACACCCACCACTACTACCCTACCACCCACACCCACCACTACTACCCTCCCACCACACCCAACCACTACTACCCCTACCACTACTACCCCACCACCACACCCACCACTACTACCCTCCCACCACACCCAACCACTACTACCTACCACCACACCCACCACTACTACCCCTACCACCACACCCACCACTACTACCCCTCCCACCACACCCACCACTACTACCTCCTACCACCACCCCTACCACTACTACTCCTACCACCCTCCCACCACACTCCACCACTATTACCCCCCACCACCACACCCACCACTACTACCCTCCCACCACACCCAACCACTACTACCACCACCACTACCACCATCACCCCACCACCATCACCCCCACCACCATCTCCTTCACTACTCTCCCACCACCCCAATACCTCAACCACCACCACCACTACCCCACCACCCCAAACCCCACCTCCTATACTACCCCTACCTCCCCCACCATCCACACTCCTCACAGGAATCACTTGAACATCCACCTCTATCCACACTTAGCTGTTAAACACTTACCTACATCTCCTATATTTAGCTGATTGCTGGCCATAGAAGCTAAGATCAGCAGTATTATAGCTTGTAGACGTTAATAGCTGCGTGTTGAGGATAGTTGGCAAGTTACTACTGGTGATTAAACACGCTCGTGGAAGTAAACACACCACAGCGACCTAACCTAACCTAACCTAACCTAACCTAACCTAACCTAACCTAACCTAACCTCCTTCCCCCTTGGAGCTTATTACAAGGGGGAGGAGGTGGTTCTGATGGCCTCCCGTCTGTTGGCTCGCTTCCTATTGGTCAATACTCAGAGGATGGTTGTGATTGGCTGACTTACATGATGAGAGGTTTTCTCTTTAGCCATTACTACGTCGTCTTTCACGGACCCGCGGGTTCGATTCCCCCGGGAGAAGAGAAGCGGTGTTTGGTGTTGTGTTGTGTTGTGCTGACGTGACTGTCTGTGTCTAGTGACTTGTTTAATTGATGCAGGTACAACATTTATTACCTGTTGTTGTTTTAATTATTTCTGTTATTATTATTATTATTATCGAGGAAAAACATAACGTACGTATTTCTGGAATCTGGGCCCACGTGAGCCATTAACACTGGCTATAAGGGGAGAGGGGTTATGTCCCCCCCACCCCCCCATTGGACCTCTGAGTCACGTGATTTATGACGTAGGGAGGGGGGGGGAGAGGGTCTGAGGAGCGGGCCAATCATGCTGCAGTTTTTCACTCACTCGTGACCAATCATAGGTGTTGATTGTATTTATAGTGTGTGTGTGTGTGTGTGTGTGTGTGTGTGTGTGTGTGTGTGTGTGTTCCTCCATCTTCTCATCTATCGTTAAGACATTGTATCATTGTTAAGTAGATAATCACACCTGGTTACACACCTGTCAGCTAACCATGTACTAATTACTGTTCCTTAATTACAGGTGTGTTGCTAATTCTCTACACCTGTCACATGATTGTATATATAACTAACTGGTGTGTCTTAATTACAGGTGAGTGTGTGTACTAGTGGCAGGTAACAGCTCCTGGACGCCTTGGGTAATGTGTTATAGTTATGTTTATTTACTGGTGACGTAATGTTTGTTTGTTTGTTTGTTGGTTCTTCCTTGTTTATTTGTTTTGTTTATTTGTTGGTTGGTTCTTCCTTAATTAACCTTTCTTATTTTTTTTGTCGTTCTCTTTTTTGTCTTTTTATTTGTTAAGTTTCCATCGTGTTTTTTTCTTGATTGATTCTTGTTTTTATTTATATTTGTTGTTGTTTTTGTTTTCAGGTTATTATTCTTGATCTTGTTTTGTTTCTCAAGTGTTTTTGTTTCTTGTTGTTTTCGTTGTTGTTATTTTTCACTCTTGTTTTTCTTAGCTTGTGATCATGTTCCACCTTCTCCACCTCCTCCTTCTCTTCCTCCCCCTCCACTGCTCTCTCCTCCTCTCCTCCCCCTCCCCTTCTTCCCTTCTTTACTCCTCTTCCCTTACCCCCCTTCTACCATACTCATTCATCCCCTACCCCATGCCTTATCCCCCTTTTCCCTTACCCTCCCTTCCTTCCTTTCCCCCACCCACCCTATTTCCTCTACCCCTTCCCCTTTCCCCTCCCTCCCTTTCTTCCCCTCACCCACCCATCTTCCCCTACCCTCCCCTATCCATCTTCCCTCCTCCACTCCACATTCTCTCCTTCCCAAAATACGCAGCACAACAAAGGCCTGTAATTAGCCAACGCTATGGTAGTTGGGCGCTCAGGGTAATTGGATCTCGGCTATAGAGAGGATATATTGTACCTGCTGGCTCTCTCACTAACCCGAGAACCTGTAAAAGAGGCCATTATTGTTCTGTCTCTGTCTGTCTGTCTGTCTGTGTGTGGGTAGATGATAGTCGTGGGTGGATAGGAGGCTGTGCTGGGTGGATAGAGGCTGTGGTGGGGGGATGGGAGGCTGTGCTGGTGGATAGAGGTTGTGGTGGGTGGATAGATGTTTGTCACTGTGGTGGATAGGATGTTTGTCGGGTGGATAGGAGGTTGTGGTGGGTGGATAGGAGGCTGTGGTGGGGGGATGGGAGGCTGTGCTGGTGGATAGGAGGCTGTGGTGGGTGGATGTGATGTTTGTCGGGTGATAGGAGGTTGTGCTGGGTGATAGATGTTTGTCGGGTGATAGGAGGCTGTGTGGTGGATAGGGAGGCTGTGTTGGGGGGATAGGGAGGTTGTGCTGTTGGGTGGATAGGAGGTTGGTGGGTGGATAGGATGTTTGTCGTGGTGGATAGAGGTTGTGCTGGTGGATAGGATATTTGTCGGGTGGATAGAAGGCTGTAGGGTGGATAGGAGGCTGTGGTGGTGGATAGATGTTTGTCGTGGGTGATAGGAGGCTGTGTGTGATAGGGATGTTTGTCGGGTGGATAGGGCATGTGGTGGGGGGAATAGAGGTTGTGGTGGGTGGATAGGATGATGTGGGTGGATAGAGGCTGTGGTGGGGGGATAGAAGGCTGTGGTGGGTGGATAGAAGGCTGTGGTGGGTGGATAGGAGGCTGTGGTGGGTGGATAGATGTTTGTCGTGGGTGGATAGGAGGCTGTGGTGGATGGATAGGATGTTTGTCGTGGGTGAATATAGGATGTCTGTTGTGGGCGTGTTATGGTACCAGTGTAGGGTGGTGGGGGGGTAAAGGGGATGAAGGAAAGGGAGAGAGGATGAAGGGAGGATGAGGGAGGTGGAAGGAAGAGAGGATGGCGAAGAAGGGAGGAAGGAAGAGGAAGGGTCTAAGCTATAGTTAAGTTACCCAATTAAGTAACATCAATATATGGAACCTATATAAGTACTAATTAACTCAGGTAATAGTAAGAGCCAGGTGTCCGTAACATAAATGTCTTTTAACTCAATAAAAAATAATGAAACAAAACCAATTTATTTCTTTTGATTATAACACCTTAGGAAATATGTAAATTATAAGGTGTTTTTTCCTTTTAGTTTTATATATATATATATATATATATATATATATATATATATATATATATATATATATATATATATATATATATATATAGGTGGTATATATATATATATATATATATGTGTGTGTGTGTGTGTGTGTGTGTGTGTGTGTGTGTGTGTTTAATAATTGATAAAGATGTGTACATAACAAGCAACACCTGAGGGTAAATTGTTAATTCACTAGAGTATTTCACCTTTTAAACTCTCTCTCTGCTCCAAGACCCACCTCTTCCGACCTGACTGATGATGTTTTTAGCTCGTGAGGGAGTCATTGTCAAGTTGTTTGTTCTATGTTGTTGTTTATGGAGAAATAATGTTGTTGTGGGATTGTTTGTATTAATATATGTTTATGAGTGGTTGTTTACGTGTGTGGGTGGTGTGGGTGTTGTTGTTTACGTGTGTGGGTGGTGTGGGTGTTGTTGTTTACGTGTGTGGGTGTCGTGGGTGTTGTTGTTTACGTGTGTGGGTGTCGTGGGTGTTGTTGTTTACGTGTGTGGGTGTCGTGGGTGTTGTTATTTACGTGTGTGGGTGTGGGTGTTGTTTACGTGTGTGCGTCGGGTGTTGTTGTTTACGTGTGTGGGTGTCGGGTGTTGTTGTTTACGTGTGGGTGTCGGTGTTGTTATTTACGTGTGGGTGTTCGGTGTTGTTGTTTACGTGTGGGTGTCGGGTGTTGTTATTTATGCGTGTGGGTGGTGGGTGTTGTTGTTTTACGTGTGTGGGTGTGTCGTGGTGTTGTTGTTTACGTGTGTGGGTGTCGTGGTGTTGCTGTTTACGTGTGGGTGTCGGGTGTTGCTATTTTGTGTGTAAGTGCTCGTGGGTGTTGTTGTTTACGTGTGGGTGTCGGTGTTGTTATTTTACGTGGGTGGTGTTGTTGTTTGCGTAAGAAGTCGTGGTGTCACTGATGGCGCGCCAGACCGGGAGGGTGGTGGTGGGAGAGAGGCACATTCATTAATCATCATCAGTGTGTGGGCTGACATCAATCATCCCCCCTCCCCACACTATGTCATCTGCCCCACCCTCCCTAAGCACTGTTATTTCCACCCACCTCCCCCTCCACACACTGTTACCTACCCACCCTCCCTATACTGTTGGCCTCCCCCCTCCACACACTGTTGCCTACCCACCTCCCTATACTGTTACCTCCTCCCTACACTGTTATCTGCCCTCCCTACACTGCTACCTCTCCACACACACTGTTACTCCTCCACACACTGTTACCTCCTCCTCCCTTTACACTGTTACCTCCACACTGTTACCTCCCCCTCCCCACACTGCGTTACCTGCCCCCCCCACACTGCCATCTCTCCACACACACTGTTACCTCCCTCCACACACTGTTACCTCCCTCCTCCTTACACTGTTACCTCCCTCCTCCTTACACTGTTACCTCCCCCCTCCCCCCCACTGTTACCTGTCCCCCTCCCCCCACTGTTACCTGCCTTGGGGTGCCTATGAGTGAGTCGCTACATCATTAATAAAACCTTTCTGGTCTTTAATAATATATATGTTGGACTCACTGCTGGAGGCTCCCTTAACCTTTAGGGGATAACACATGAGCTGTAGGACAGGTTGTGGGCGTTGTGGTAGTGGGTGTGGGCGTTGTGGGTGTGGGTGTGGGCGTTGTGGGTGTGGGCGTTGTGGGTGTGGGTGTGGGCGTTGTGGGCATGGGCGTTGTTGTGACCTGGAGTTATTAGTTGTTATTATTCGACTCTGATAACAATAGTGTCATATGATTTGTTTTGAAATGCTGTCAATGTCCTATTAATGTTCTGTACGTGTTGCG